TGAACGAATCAGATAGGTAACTCTTTTTACTTTCGTGAAATAGAAAAGGAAAATAATAAAACAAGTGACAGTTCTTCCTCTTCTTGCAAAAATCAACACGAATTGACATAAGTAAAATGTCATCAGCTTTTGACATTTCTAAATATCAGACTAATGCCGTCTCTAATAGAGCAGCCTCGGAGCGAGATTTATGACGTCACGCTAGTTAGATACTACGGATTAATAAATATGTTGTAGAATACATGGAAAACAAAATTATTCCTCGAATTTTTGGTTTGTATTTTAAAAACGATATAGTTTACATGAAATATACATAATATACAGTTAATATCATATTTACATATTTATACAAACCATACAAATGCAGCAAATGTTTTATAATTTACAAATAATGAATAGGTACATAAGATAATGGGTAAAATGTAAAATATATTTTAAATTTGGGGTTTTGAAAATCGATCTAATTAAAAAAAACATTCAATATCTACTAATAGTGATGTATTATTATTTACATTTACAAAATTTATATGCATATTTTGCAGGTATCAATGTTCGAAAAATTATATTTGCAAATAATACAATATCATAGAAAAAGGCGTCACCGATGGCTATGAAAGAAAGATCGCTGTCATTTTATATGTAAAATTATTCTAAAATTTTTGATTTTCTTGGGATTTAGGTTCGGGAAAAACGCTGATTAAGGTTTCATTTAGTTTTTCATTTTTTTTTCATTTGGTTTCGGCTAACATTATAGCCTTCATCAGTGTTGTGTCATATGAAAAAAATAGTGTCAAATATAATCCAAAAAATTACATATAAAATATACTAAATATATATGTTACTGTAAATGTCCGAAATGCGGTAAAACCTAGGATTTACCAAAAGCAAGTGGTAGTAAAAACCAACCAACCCCACCAAATAACCACCTATCCAATGCATTAACACCCCCCAAATAACCAGGCTAACCAATGCATTAAGACCCTCCAAATAACCAGGCTAACCAATGCACTAACGCCCTCCAAATAACCGGGCTAACCTAATTAGTTAATGCTTTTGTTAAATCCTAGGTTTAGCGCGCTTATAGTAACACATATATATATATATATATATATATATATATATATATATATATATATATATATATATATATATATATATATATATATATATATATATATATATATATATATATATATTTATTAATTAATACATATTTATTAATCCGTAGTATCTAACTAGCGTGACGTCATAAATCTCGCTCTGTGGCTGTGCCATTGGAGACGGCATTGCGTCATGATGGCCGCAAGTTGCTAACTTAATAAAATTAACACTAGAAAAGCCCGCGGGAACTGTCAAATTCAAACTTATTCGTTTCACAGACTATAACTGTGAAACTATCGAAATATATTTACTCATATTTTAGGATTAGGTAAAGAGATCTGAAAGGAAGCCAAAAATGCAGTAATATACTGGGCGTTCCATTTAAAAAAAAATCATCCCAATCCAGTCACACTTTTTTGAGCCACCCTAAAAAGTTAAAATTCTTTCCTGAAATACATCCTAGTAAATACTTTAGGTTTGCACTTAATCAAAATTCCCAAGTTTTTTATTCTAGACGCTACAGATTCCAGCACTAATGCCGGACCTTGTACAGGGTGTCCCATTTTGGTTGAAATCATATGGTATCTCCGTTATTAGTGAAGATAGAAGGGTGCGGTTTGCACAAACCTGTCTCACTTTTTTGTCAAACGGAAGATGCCGTAAACAAAATTTGCATAGCCCTCTTCGTTTCCGAGCTACAGGGTCTTTTTGAAAGTTTTGCAATTTGGGTCACCTCCTGTATCTCTATTATTGTTAAAGCTATCGAGAAGGTGAAAACTGTTTATTGTAGAACTTTTTACGTAGAATACAGTGGCGTAGTCTGTTTTTCTACAAAAAAAATATTTTTGAAAATATGAACTAAAGTTATGTTTTTTTAAATGGATCACCCTGTATATTTATAAATCATATGATCTGTCTTGGCATAAGCTTCTCAAAAATACATATCACTCTATATTTATTTTCACTATTTACTGCAATATTTAAAAGTTTTTATTAAAAGATCATATTTATTAGTAGGCCATGATTGATAATAAAAGAATCTAAAGAATTATTAAAAGTATACTGCTATCTGTCTTTTGTTTTATTTTGGGAGCCGCTAATAAATTCTTTATATATTAGGGAAACTTAAGTCTCTACCGCTATTTGTAAATCTTGGAATACGTGTATACGTAAGACTAATCTATCGTATCGGAAATTTTAGATATTCCTTTAGCTAATTTACGTCAAATATACTTTCAGCAAGATGGGGAACATTCCCCCACATAACTATGGAAATATTAGAATACTGTTAAATTATTATTTTTCAAATCAATGAATTGGAACCAATGAACACATATTGATAGCCTCCTCGATTCCCGGATTTCGTCGTTCTCGATTTCTGATTTTGAGGATTTTCGAAATACGAAATATATCGTGGGCACTACAACAATTTCGAACACCTGAAAAATGCTTTAATAATTCAAGATTTAGATATTTGCAAACCCATCCCGTTATAAAAAAAGAAAAATATATTCACAGTTTCAGTGGTAACAGTTATTTCGAAAGTAAAATATATCAATCCCAGATAAATTTTAATATGTGTATGACTATTTTAGTAAATACCATTTTGATTTTTTGTTATTTATCACGGCCTACTAATAAGAAAATGATATATTTTAAATATTGCAGTAAATAGTAAAAATAAATATAGAGTGATATATATTTTTGAGAAGCTCATAGCAAAACAGATCATATGATTTATAAATATATAGGGTGTTCCGTTTGAAAAAACATAACTTTAGTTCATATTTTCAAAAATATTTTTTTGGTAGAAAAACAGACTACGCCACTGTATTCTACGTAAAAAGTTCTACAATAAGCAGTTTTCGCCTTCTCGAAACCTTTAACAATAACAGAGATACAGGGGGTGTCCCAAATTGCAAAATTTTTGAAAAAGACCCTGTAGCTCAGAAATGAAGAGGGCTATGAAAATTTTGTTTGCAGCATCTTCCGTTTGACGAAAAAGTGGGACAGGTTTGTGCAAACCGCACCCTTCTATCTTCACTAATAACGGAGATACCCTATGATTTCAACCAAAATGGGACACACTGTATAGGGTGGGTTAAATTGGACGCTTTTAAAGGGAAACACCCTTTTCTATAGGAGATAGACGAAAACTAATATCTCTGTCTGGAGCTCAATTTTTAATAAAAACATGATGGTGAAAACCGCACATCGATATCTATTACCGTTTCGGAGTTACGGGGTGTTGTTTTTTTCAAAAATGTGCATTTTTAAAAAATCGCTATAACTTTTTTGGTATGGAAAATTTTGTATTTTTGTGAAAACATTTCCAAAGCACCTTTTTACGTAGAATGTAATAGTTTGAGTTTATTTTAAAATTAATAATTTAAGAATTATCAACAGAAAATTTGATTTTTTATATGGGACACCCTGTATATCTTTAATTAATTGAAAAGAATTTAAAATTCTTTGTAATTTAAAATTATAAATTTTTTAGAACCTTTGCAAAAATATAGCATAGTTCATATTTTGCTCGATTCCTCATTGAGATATAGAGTTTTTAAAAATTCGCCCACTTTGAATAAGTAGGCTTTGAACGACGCCGGCTGTAATGAAAAAAAATTCTAGCTGTGAGCAGCAATTAAAACGAAAATAATATTTGCAATGAGAGATGCAAAATTTTATAACAATTTAAGCTATAATTAACAACATCAACCCGTTTAAACTATATCTAATAACAATAAAAATTAATAGCAAACCAAGACATGAGATTTTGCTACAGGTGTTCGACATGTCGACCGTCTTCTCTCATGGACAGAAGGGACCGTTTTTGAAGATTTCTCGCGGAATTCATTAATTCAGTGAGGGTGAAAGATACCCTCGCATAACCGCTAAGTACTTCTAATTCTTGTTTAGATTATACAGGCAAAATAAGAACCTTTATTCTTCCGCAGAGATAAAAAATCAACTAAGGATAACAGGCACTAAGTCCGGCGGCCACGACGGCCAACGGCTGGGATCTTGGTTAGCTATTCAATTATTCTCGAAATGGGTGCAAAAATTTGCTGATAACTTCAGCCTTCTGATGCGGTGTCTTCGTTCTGCAGTGCAACGCGTTCTGCATTGCTGCCTCGTCTTGATGGAAAAATATGTTTTCGAGTTCCAAACCAAATCATCAATAAAAGATTCAAAGCCTACTAGTTAAAAGTGGCGAACTTAGAAAAATTCTGTATTTCGAAGGGCACTATAACAAAATATGAAGTGTGCTATATTTTTGGAAAGGTAATTTTAAGTTCATTTCACTTAATTAAAAATATACAGGGTATCCCAAATAAAGAATCAATTTTTTCTGTTGATAACTCTTAAATTAATAGCTTTAAAAAAATATACTTAAACCATTAAATTCTACGTAAAAAAGTGCTTTGGAAATGTTTTGACAAAAATACAGAATTTTCCATAACAAAAAAGTTACAGCGATTTGTTAAAAATACACGTTTTTGAAAAACACCCCGTAACTCATAAACGGTAACAGATATCGATATGCGATTTCACCATCATGTATTTGATAAAAATTGAGCTCCAGTGAAAAAAAGGGTGTTTCCCTTTGAAAGCGTCGAATTTGACCCAGCCTGTACATCATTGTAGCAAAAAATATGTTTTAAAGAAAATGGTGCATAGAGGCAAATGGAGTCAATCTAAACAACTTTCTTTAATTCTTTTTTTGTTATGGGGGATACTAAATTGTTCTCTAGCGCGATACTCACTTTTGGGATATTTTTTTGAGAGATACCTACATAATTGACTTCTAAAACCCATTTGTTGCGAACTCTTTTTTCGGTATAACCAAACAGAATAAACCAAACCAAATCAAAAATATGAAACGATCTATGTTTTAGGTTCAATGCATGTGCGAAGCACTGCAACAAAGAGGCGATTTAGAGCGATTAGCATCCTTCCTATGGTACTTACCTTCTTCGGAGTCGCTGGACAATAACGAGAGTATATTAAGGGCCAGGGCTGCAGTGGCGTTTCATAAAGGGTTCTACCGAGAACTGTACTCGATTTTGGAATCGCACGCGTTCCATCCCAGATGGCACGGCGAGTTGCAGATTTTGTGGTACAAGTCGCATTACAAAGAGGCGGAGAAAGTGAGAGGTAGACCTTTAGGTAAGTTTCAGTTGAAATTGATTCGTTTAAATTAATAGAAAATTGTTCAACTTTCATATTAGGCCAGGGCAGTTAAGTGAAATAATGGCCTTTAGGAGAAGTTTTTGCAATCAAGCTAATTTTTTCACAGATGATAGTACTCATCAATAGTACTCTGTAAAAAAAAGTTACACCTTCTAGGAGGCTTGCTTATTCCGCAATGTTGAATTAAAGATGGCCGACACAATATTTTTTTAAATACTGTAACTTTCTTATTTTTTAACCGATTTACCTCAAACAAACTCCATATTAAGGAGGAAGAGAAGCTATTTTTATTTTTGGATAGTTTTCATATTGACAGAAATTTCTTTTATATTTTTAAGCTCTTGATACATTTTTAAATATTTTCAAAATACAAAGCTTGATCTCGGAACAAATTCGCGAAAATCTTCTACGCATTCATGCATTTACAGGATGCGACACTACTTCGTACCCATATAAAATGGGTAAAAAATGAATATTTGACTTGTTAAAAAACAGTTCTGAAATATTTGATTTGATAAAAAGTTTCAATGCACCGAATATGAATAAAGCGGATTTAAGTGAAGTTGGGCAAAATCTTATATTAAATTTTTTTCCTGTCCAAAACTGTGAAAAACTGAACGATGCTAGACTTTATTGCTATCAAAAAATCACCTCCACACGAGGTTTGGGATCTAATTTTGCCTCCCACAGAAGACTCCAGTAATCAACACGTTTTTAGAGTATATTTACAGGTACATAGCTGGAGAGGAAACGAGTTAGATCCACTTGAGTGGGGATGGTTTGCCAGTGGTAAAGAGTTTTTGCCAGTGACTTAGACCAAACCTCCAGGGCCCGAACACCTAATGGCAACTTTTTTTTTTTGCAAATGCAAAGATCTTTGCACAGCAAACTGTGTTTTTGTGCTTCTTATAATCGAAAATGCACCATTTTGTGTAAAGAATGCAATCAAGCCTGTCTAAATGCACCCAGAGTCGATTATGAAGAAGTGCAAATAGATGATGGTGACGTGTAAATACAAATGTGAAAAAGTTATTATTATGTATTTGTAGTTATTAAAAGTTATTAAAAGTTGAATTTATACTTTTCTGTTGGAATAAAAAGAATTTCAGTGTTTATTATTATCTATTATTAAGAGTAATCATTTTTTCTGTTTTTTTTTTAAATTTATTTTTATTGTTTTTTTTAATTCATATGTTTAACCTATACTATACCTATATGTTTTACATATACTACTCAACCTATCACAAACTCAAGGACTGTTTCAAAATCAGAAAAAAGAGCGCATATTCTTTAACCTTTTTTGCTACGGAGTACGATTCAAAAAAATTGAAGAAAAGCAAGTCGATTTCTTTTATTATTTTCCCTTTTTTTATTTTTGACAGAAAAACAACCTGTCAAAATGGTTTTATATTTTTATTTCATTCTTTAGTCCAAAACAAAGGTAATGATTTTTACTTAACGAAAATCGGTTAATAAATAAGAAAGTTACGATTTTTTTAATGGATAGGATCAGACGCCATCTTTAATTCAACATGGAGGAGGAAGCAAGCGCTCTAGGAGGTGTAACTTTTTTTTACAGAGTACTGTTAATGAGTACTATCATCTGTGAAAAAATCAGCTTGATTGCAAAAACTTCCCCTATTTTTGCTAACTGCGCTGGCGTATATAGTAAATTACACAAACAACAGTGTAAAAATATTTTTATTAGAAGTAAGGTATCCGTTCTATGTAAATATAAAATATCCCTTCGATTGGAGTAGGATAAGCGTGTAAACGGAATACCCTGTATATTTTGTCATTTTTAAATTCTACGATAAATTTTAAATAAATGAAAAAAATGCTTTGTTTAGTGACAGATAACCGATTCTTATGAGTTACGTTCATTAGAAAATTTAACTCCAAAATAATAATTTCTATATTAGCAGTTAAGTGGCAAGAATCCTTATATAATTTTATTATATATCTCTACTGCAAGAAATTTGTTTTCTATTTTATAATTTGGCTTGCCTGAAAAAAAGCCTTTACCATCCTTTTACTATCGATAGTTGCTCTTCGGTGGTACGAAAGTACTACCATTGCACGCAGGCCGCTATCTCCCGTTCGGGACTTAATATCTAACCGATACTTTCCGACAAGTCGGAATTAACTATCTCTGCGCTGTGGTTGTCATTTTGTGGATTTCCCAAGCTCACCTGATGATGGAGTAGGGCTCCGAAACCGGTAGTGAGAGCAGGTTGATCCGCATTATGACAAACACAGCGTAGAATTAAATTTCTATATTAGCAGTTAAGTGGCAAGAATCCTTTTATAATTTTATTATTTACTAATAACGGAGATACCGTATGATTTCAACTAAAATGGGACACCCTGTACATACATTATTTTAAAAAAACTATAATATCTATTAACTTATATATATATATGATATAATATATTAACTGCAATATATTAATTATCTAAAGTACTTAATATTGATATTCTTACAAAAATTTGATTTTTTTATTAATGCATCAAATGAAAATAAGAAAAATGAATGTGTTTCTATTTAAAAAGCGACTTTTTATAGTTTTTGTTTAAATTTATTAGCGAAATTAAGTATTGCAAATAACCTGAATATATTTAGTTCTATTTCCTTCACCAATTTTAATACAGTATCAAATTTTCAAACTTTTATTTACCGGTCGAAAAAAAAAACGGCGTCCAGTTGGCCTGGAAAATGTTTTATGTAAATTTTTAGTAACTGACTTCTAGAGATTGACCTCCCTAAAATTATCATCAAATGTCATTCCCTAGCCATCTTTGATGCCGTTATTTTTTATCATACGGTATTAATGTTAATTCAAAGAAACTTTTCTTTTTAGGCGCAGTAGATAAATATCGCCTGCGTAAAAAATACCCTCTTCCTAAAACAATTTGGGATGGCGAAGAGACCGTGTATTGTTTCAAAGAACGAAGTAGAAACGCTCTGAAAGAATGTTATGCTCGTAATAGGTAGGTAATATATCAAAACTGAACATTTATTTGTGTAATTTAGATCATTTTTAAATTATTATTATAGATATCCAACTCCAGACGAGAAAAGGGAATTGGCAAAACGAACGGGTCTCACATTAACACAGGTCTCAAATTGGTTTAAGAATCGAAGGCAAAGGGATAGAACACCACAATCTAGGCCGTAAGTATATATTGTAGAGATGAGCAACAAATCGCAAACTGCGATTTAATCGCAGTGCTTTTATTTACAATCGCAACCTGCGATTGGGTCTCATAGGAAAGTGCGATTACGATTTCTTCTATTTGCGAGCTTCAATTTAGGCAACCAATATTACTATAGTCGCGATTTGAAATTTTGTTGCGAGTTGCGATTTTGCTGCGATTGTGATTCTGTAAACTAAGACCGTGATAACCTGCTATCTGCGAGTTTGAATTTTTAGGAGTTACAATTTGCAATTTTGTTGCGAATGTAATTTTGTGGTTCATTTGAAGCTGAAGCATTTTATATACAGGGTGGTCCGAACTGTATTCCGGAAACTTCGGCAGCATATTCTGCAGATAAATATGAGTAAAACAGTTCGTATAAATGTATGTCCCTTCTTAGTTTCGAAGATACAGGGTGGAGAAGTTTCATTTTTATAAAAATAAGTAAAAAAAAAATAAAAATAAGTAAAAAAGTTCGTATAAATGTATGTCCTAAAATGCTTAGTTTCGGAGATACAGGGTGTAGAAGTTTCATTTTTATTTCGATTTTTTCCAAATAATTTCTGAAGTAACGTCAATATTTGGATGAAAATTGGTGTCCGGGAGTTTTTTGACATGAAAAATTTGATTTTGATGTCAATATGACTCCTACTTGTAGAGGGCGCCACCGAGTTTAGTTGCAATAGTGTTGCTTTATTTTTGAGAGCACTCAATTTTAAAAGAAACTGATTAAACATGTCTTTTTTTCCTTTTACTACCCTGTATTTCTCGCCACAGCTTGTTTAAAGTAATTATAAACGTGATTTTATAACAGTGACCTCTTTATGCACGGTTAAAAAGGCCGCGTTGCCTTCTGGAATGGGCGGTTGTTCTTTTCCCTTTTATTGTCGACATAGTTAATCGACGTTAACTGGAACCATGTAAAACTACGGCACTAACAATGCGTCATTGTGATTTTTATGATTATGGGGTCCACATTCATTCGAATATTTGGTTAAAGATTTCTTTCCTATATTGTTAATTTAGTAGTCAATAGAAAAATAAAAAAAATGTACAATGTACATTAATCTTAGATGGTTAAAATAACTTGACCCCGTGGCGTAGCAAGGTGATTGCGGAGGGGGCGGTACCTGCGGTATCCAGGTACCTGCGGAGCGACAAAAATTTGTTATAAAAGCGGTAGACGGATTCTGTAGGGGCCCCTAACTCACCACTCCACTGACTTAACCATCTAAGTTTCGCTCTTGGCGTAGTCCTAATTGCCAATAGGCAATAATTAAAAAACTACAAGAACAAATTAAAACACTAAATACACCCAGCAATAAAGTGGGTCTCAAAATGAATTAATTTAGCAAAAAGTGAAGTAATGTACAGGGTGTCCCATTTTAGTTGAAATCATACGGTATCTCCGCTATTAGTGAAGATAGAAAGATGCGGTTTGCACAAACTTGTACCACTTTTTTGTCAAACGAAAGATGCTGTAAACAAAATTTTCACAGCCCTCTTCGTTTCTGAGCTACAGGGTCTTTTTGAAAATTTTGCAATTTGGGACACACCCCGTATCTCTGTTATTGCGAAAGGTATCGAGAAGGTAAAAACTGTTTATTGTAGAACTTTTTACGGAGAATACAGTGGCGTAGTCTGTTATTCTACGAAAATAATATTTTCGAAGATATGAACTAAAGTTATGTTTTCTTAAATGGAACACCCTGTATATTTATAAATTATATGATTTGGCTTGCCATAAGCTTCTCAAAAATATATATCATTCTATATTTATTTTCACTATTTACTGCAATATTTAGAAGTTTTTATTAAAAAATCATATTTATTAGTAGGCCATGACTTTGGCCATGATTGATAATAAATGAAAATGAAAAATTATTAACAACATACCGGCTGTCCATCTCTTGTTTTATTTTAGGGGCCACTAATAAATTTTTTCTATAAATATTAGGAAAACTTAACTCTCTACCGCTATTTGTAAATCTTAGAAGTTATCGTACCGAAACTTTTAGATATATTTTAGCTAATTTACGTGAAATATACTTTCAGCAAGATGGGGCTTTCCCTAACAACTTTGAAAATATTAGAATTTTGTTAAATTATTATTTCTCAAATCAATGAATTGGAACCAATGCAATGGACTCATATGATGGCTTCCCTGATTCCTGGACTTGTCCGTTCTCGATTTCTGATTTTGGAGATTTTTAAAATATGAAATATTTCGTGACAATACAACAATGTCGAACACCTGGAAAATGCTTTAATAATGCAAGCTTTTAGATATATGCAAACCCATCCCGTTATAAAGAAAGAAAGATATATTCAGAGATTCAGTGGTAACAGTTCAAAAGTAAAATATATCAAGCCAAATAAAATTTTAATGTGTGTATGACTATTTTAGTAAATACCATTTTGATTTTTATGTTATTTATCACGGCCTACTAATAAAAAAATGATATATTTTAAATATTGAAGTAAATAGTGAAAATAAATATAGAGTGATATATATTTTTGAGAAGCTCATAGAAAGACGGATCATATAATTTATAAATATACAGGGTGTTCTATTTGAAAAAACATAAATTTAGTTCATATTTTCAAAAACATTTTTTCCGTAAAAAAATAGTCTACGCCACTGTATTCTACGTAAAAAGTTCTATAAGAATCAATTTTCACCTTCTCGATATCATCCACACAAACGGATATACTGGGGCTGTCCCAAATTGCAAAATTTTCGAAAAGACCCTGTAGCTCAGAAACGAAGAGGGTTATGAAAATTTTGTTTACAGCATCTTTCGTTTGACAAAAAAGTGGGACAGGTTTGTGCAAACCGCATCCTCCTATCTTTACTAATAACCGAGATACCGTATGATTTCAACTAAAATGGGACACCCTGTACAACGAACTAGTAGACAAAAAAGACATTCTAATAAAACACATAACACTGGAAATAGTAGGAGAATATACACTTGAGACAACTAAGACACAGTTCAGGATCTCTATTACCAGAAATCAACAGAAGAATTAAATTAGCATGGAGCACATATAGAAGGAACTCAATCATATTCACTTTATCTAAAGAACATATTCGACCAATGTTGACTACCAGTCAAAACATATGCATCCAAAACATGGACACGCTATTATAAGGAACTACATTATAAGGAAATTGATAAGATATTATAAGGAAACTACATTATAAGGAAATTGACTAGGAATATCCAACAAAGACCGTCAAAAATAGAGTGGATAGACCAAGGTAATACACGTCATCCACAGATTTAAATCCCTCAAGTGGCAATAGGCAGGACGCCTGGCAAGAAAGACGTACAACAGATGGACCACAAAAATTACATCATAGTACACATCAATTAAAGACCAGAGAAAAAAGAATTAACGGAATTAAGAGACCTAGAAGAAGAGCAAACCTGAGATTGACCATGATATTAGGAAAAAGAAGCAGGGATAACTCTCTGCTAAAGTAACAACCAAACAATAATAATATACCTTCTCAACGAGGGGTGTCTCACTCGGGTAAAAAATGTACACGTACTGCCAAAATTAGTTTTCACTGTCAAGCGACTGCCAATGACTACGAAGAAGATACCTTTGACTGCCATGTAATTATTATAGGCGACTGCCATAAGACTGCCAATGACTGCCAGCGACTGCCCAGAAAATGTACATGTAATTCCAATAGTGAGACACCCCTCGCTTCTCAAGGACAGTGATATTACAAAACAATAACCACTGTTTCATAGATGTGTTGATGAGGACCATACGCATGTTTGTAATGCTATAATTATTGCTGTAAATCATTAATGTCTTCTTCAAAAGTGAATATCTCCAATAAAATTAAAGCTATATAGAGGTGAATCAAAAAATATTATCAAGAAAAAATAGATCTTGATAAAGTGGTAATCAAATTCCTTTCTTAACCTCTTACAGGGATGTTTCAAAATTTGACCTAAAATATACTTTGCTTTAAAAGGTTAGAGTTTAAGAGGTTAACAAATTTAATAATTTGGCTACATATTGCTTAAAGAGTCATCAAAGTCGGTTCACTAGACACAATGTATTGAACTTTAAAATACATGAAAATTTTAGGGTGCCCGTTTTATATGCTAGGGGGGCAGTGTATTGTTATAGTATATTGTAGTATACTAGTAGTATAGCATTTCAGTCTAATAAAGAAACAGTATCAGCAACCATTACTTGTTATGAGTTTTACCGAGAGACCCTTTTTACGTAAAATACGGCGGAAATGTATATTTTTTCACTCAGTAGTGTAATACAGGTACGGCCGAAAAAATATTACTCTTCCAAACCGTTAAAAAATGTTTAATTACTACTACTACCAATAAAAAAATACCCTGTGTCCCTACAAGTAGGAGGTATACTGAAATCAAAATCGAATTTCTCATATCAAAAAATACCCAGACACCAATTTTCAACTTTAATTAAAAATTAAACTTCTACACCCTGTATATCCAAAACAAAGTATTTTAGGCCATGAGTTTATAGCAACTTTTTTACGTATTTTGATCAACAAAATATGTTGTCGAAGTTTTCCGAATACAATTTGGACCACCCTGTATACCTAGTGTTTCTCAAAAGTTGCTGACTCCTATAACTTTTTTATTTTTTTAGATAAAAAAACGAGAAATGGTACTTTAGTATAAATAAAAATTAGGATTGATTTGACGGATTAAATTGTTTTCGGTCACTTCCTGTTCCACCGGAAATTATTACAACTTTTGATTTTTAAATGACACGTTCGGTATTTTTTTATTTTGTTCGATAGGAAATGACACTCTGAACACAATGACATATAATATGTCAAGTTTTGACATTTTCGCATGCGATTCATAACGACAATTTGACTCGAAATACCAAGCGTGTGGTACCAAATTATTTAAAAAAAATGCTCCACCCTCGTTCCATTTGAAAATATTGAGATATGATTAAAAATACTATTCAAGCATTTTTAATCGGCCAGGATAAGACAGGAAAACATTAGACGATTAAATATATTTTTCCAAGCCTCCTTGATTAAGAATTAGTGTTTTTAACAGGCACTCTAGATTGAAATTTAAAATACGATTTTTTAAAGCAAAAATGTCAAAAGTTTACATATGATATATACCTAATTATTTTCAGAGTGTTATTTCCTACCGAATAAAGTAAATAATACCGAGGGCGTCATTTAAAAATCAAAAGTAAAAATCAGTCAATCGTAGTTTATGTCATATACTACTAACATACCCAATCTCATTTTTATAAAGAAAGGGTGAGCCACTTTTGAGTAACATCCAGTATGTTGCATATTTTTTAAACTAATTATTAACTTTAAATTCTCAAACAGAAAATATGCCATGGAGACTAGATTACACCCTATTTGAATCAATATACTTAATTTTTGTATACCTATATCTAATTCACATATTTTATTGTTTCAGCGAGATTATTCTAGGAAATATGGCCCTGACTCAAGGAGCCCTGAGCAATCATCACCAGAACAATTTGGACATGGCCGCATTCCAAGCTGCATCAAAATTGTTTGATCCTACTTGTTCTGTTTCAGCGTGCTATACTGATTATCAAGTGTAATAAAATACAAAGCTGTGTACCAATAATTGTAGCAGTATGAAATTTTTGTATAGCTTGTTAGAAAAATAGTAATTACTTTATCTTATTAATTTTTTAAGGCATTGGACTAATGGTCGAAACATTTTTTTAATTTATTAAAACTTAACGAAACCGATATAAATAAAGGGTACCTACACTACTTACACTTTAGTTTAAAAGTCATAAAAAATGTATATAAATGATACTTAAATTAATTACATATTAGAAAGTAATCTAATAATAAATAATTATACAGTAGGCGACTTGCGTTTTATTTGTTAAGTGTAATAATATTGCTATAAAGAGAATCTTAAATAAGTGCACACAGTTACAAGGCTGGTAGATATTCAATAAAAGAGAGATTTTTTTTTATCTTTTTTTAAATATGTATGTCCAAAATAGCAGAGTTAAAAATTAAAAAAATGTATGATTTTTTGCCTAAATTTTTAGAATCACTGGGTTTTTCTGGATCTTTGTTTCTCTAATATTTATCTACTACCTATGTTGCCATGTTGTCAAGATATGTTTTTTAATTGAAAATTAAAAAAAAATTGTTTTATTTTTGAAAAATACAAAATTTTCAATATACAGCGTTGTTCACCACATACGACGCTGAGTATTGTAGCTAAACTCTTAGATTTTTGCAAATTGTAAGTTTTGGGTTCGTTGAAGGACTATTAGAGCTACAATTTAAAAATATTTTTACAGATACAAAGTGGCCCAAATAAATAAAAAATATCAAAGTTGTATTTTTTTAAATGGAACACCCTGTATATTATTACATTTTTAGTTTCTACGATTAAAATAAAGATAAATTTGATTAAGGTTTACCGCATTTTAATCTTACCGTTTTTGAAATATTTAGGTTTTTGTCAAAATACGGTAATAATTTTAAGGCTTTATTTCTCCAGGCGTATTTAAGTTTTTAAAACCAAATATTGTACTGAAGTATTTCTATTTACTTGTTTTTGTGTTGCAATAATAAAATTATACTACCTTATACAGAGTGTCTAAAATTTATTTTAAATAATAACTAGCAATAAACGGCAATTACTTCTATAATTTAAATAGAACACCCTGTATATTTTATGGGAATCAGATGCACAATTTAATTGTCTATCAAATTGTATTATATCATTTTTTACCTATGTCCTCAGGTTTTCGTAGAAAATGCATTTTCTTATAATTTAGACCACAATTATCAATATACCTATGGAATATTGACATTTTTGATTATTTTTAAAGATTTAACAAATTTTTAAAGGTTACAGATATTAATATTGTCGATATAGTTCGTTTATGTTATTAAAAAATTAAAAAATTGTCTAAATATTTGTAAAAGAGGACCAATTAATATGATTCCAGTATTCAAACTACATTAATTGACTGTTTGCGTTGATTAATAATAATTGTTTCAAATACTAAAAAACTTAATTTTCTATGTGTATTCGACAGTGTGGTAAAAAATAACACCTTAAAAATTTTATTTCATTTTTTGACGGATGCTTATTTAACAACAGAGACGTTCATTTTCATAACTTATTATTATATTGATTTCTGATTCCAAATCCACATTTATTTAGAATAATTTATTAACTAACACAGCTAAATATGTAATTAATTAGTATTTGGGCGGAAATAATGGTGGTATATTTAATAATGGTACACTCTTTTATAAATATTTAAATAGTTTTATTTTTGTATACAAATAGGCTGGTAATATTATCGTTTTTAGCACCTGTACAGGAAAGTCTCATACCTCGGCCATATTCTTAGAGGAGACAAATATTACATTCCTAAGCTGATTCTACAAGGAAAAATAGAGGGACGGCGAGGCCCAGGAAGAAACAACATTCCTGGCTAAGAAACATACGGGATTGGTGTAACATCAGCGACGCAGCCACCATATTTCGAAGAGCCGAAAACGGCACTCTACACATTGTATGAAGAGTACAGACAATCGCCAACGTGCGGCTAAGCACAAGGCACAGGAAGAAGAAGAAGCACCTGTACATTTGTTGCTTTAAAAACAATTTAAAATGTCAATATTCCATGGGTATATTGATAAATAAGGTCTAAATTATAAGAAAAAGTATTTTCTACGAAAACTTGAAGAGATAGGTAAAAATGGTATAATACAATTTGATGGACAATTAAATTGTGCGTCTGATTCTCCTCAAATATACAGGGTGTTCCATTTAAATTAAACAAGTTATTGCCGTTGAAAGCTAGAAATTATTTAAATTAAATTTTTAGACACTCTGTATGAGGCAGTATTATTTTTATTATTGCAACACAATAACTGATCAAGAATTAAACTTCAGTAAATATTTAGTATTAAAAACTTTGATACCCTTGGAGAAATAAAGCCTTAAAATTTTTACTACAATTTCACAAAATTGAAAATATTTCAAAAACGGTCAGGTTTAAGGGTGATAAACCTTAATCAAATTTACCTTTATTTTAATCATAGAAACTAAAAATGTAATAATATACAAGGTGTTCTATTTAAAAAAATACAACTTTGATATTTTTTATTTATTTGGGACGCTCTGTATCTTGTAAAAATATTTTTAAATTGTAGGTCTAATAGTCTTTCAACAAACCCAAAACTTACAATTAGTAAAAATCTAATCGTTCAGCTACAATACTCCGTGTCGTATGTGGTGAACAACCCTGTATTTTTTTTCGCGAAAAAAACCTCATAGCTGGTTCCTGGGATCGAAACATAACTCCCCTAAAATATGTGCACTTATTTAAGACTCACTCTGTATAACTGGTATTTGAAGATGATGCCAGTACATTTTTGTCCTTTTTATACAGGGTGCCAATTTGAAAAGGAGCAATCCGGAGTATCTTTTAACACAGGTTTTAGACGTTTAGATTATTAGATAATTTGCGCAAATTGGCTTGTGCAAGCGAAATTATGCCAACAAAACATAAAATGTAACTAGAAATTATTAATTTGTATAGTTGAGTGTATAGTTGTTTGTATATTAAGAGATGTTTTTCACAAAAAGGTGTCTATAACTATTTTTTCTTGACATAATGGTGGCGCATTGCTCTGTTTACAAAAATTGGTGAATATTTATTTTTTTTTAAATTTTTAAATTGCTAAACTTTCTAAAACTATGTAAAACTTTTTGACATATTTTATTATTGACATTATTTGGCACGAGAAGTGCAAATATAAAAAATAAAAATATGAAGAAATAAGAAACTTTCCCATTGGTTGAAGACAAAACCCGTATTTTTTTAAGATTATGATAAGTAGGTCTTAATATATGATCAAATGTGACCCGTAAAGGAAGGAAATCCAAAGGACTACAACATTCCAGATTTCAGTATTTGTATTTAAGAAGATAAATAAGCTAGAAGCCAGTATTTGATTTATAATATATTTGGCTGTACTTAAACTGCCGTTAACCGGTAGCTGACTAAAATGCCGTTAATAGGTATGACGTCGTTGATGTGACGCCCTTGACGGCTTTATGAAATATAGGAATTTTATAAGGACTAACCAACGCTATCCACCCCATCAAATAACCAACTTAACCAACGCAACTAACCTCGACACTGATAAAAAATTTAAAAAACAAATATAAATTAGTAAAAACCAACCAACCTCACCAAATAACCAACTAACCAATGAATTAACACCCTCCAAATAACCACGCTAACCAACCCGCCAAATAACTAAACCAATCCAACCAAAAAAGAGTGGAAACCAATGCAATAAGATCACGCTATAAGCAAAAAAAAAAACAATTGTTGGTCAGCGTGAGATTTGAACCCGGACCATTCGCCCACGAACCGATAGCCTCAACCACGGAGCCACAGGTGCTCTTGCAATATGCTTATGGCTAGGCATTACTTTCTGCCGACATGAACGACGTCACAATATCTATTAACGGCATTTTAGTAGGCTACCGTTTAACGGCTGTTTAAGTACATCCTTTATATTTACAGTAAAACCACAGATAATATATAATCTAAAAACGTTTTGTGAACAAAACTGTTCGATTATTTTTATTATATCTATACTAATAGGCCAGTGCAAATAATTTTTGAGTTTGCAAAAATTTTTAGAAAGCTGCGACCATTGAAAATAGTTAGCCTTAGTAACCCTTATTAACATACTAAAAGTCCCCATTTGTCCGATGTGTGCGTCATCAAAAAAAATCGGCCGCCATCTTGAATTTTGGTACTTTTTGGGAAAAAATGTAAATAACTCGAAAACGGTGCGTTATAGCGAAAAACTTCAAGAGGTAAAAATTAAAGAGAATAAAAAATTCTATCAGAATCAATAAAGAATAGTTTATTATCCTAACGCAGTGACCTACAAAAAATTTTTGAAAATCGAGCAATTTTTAAAAGGAATCACCGAAATGCAAATTACTATTCTTTTAAGCTTATTAACAAATAACATGGATATTTAGCATCAATTCAACTAAAATACAGTCCTTGTGACATTTTCAAGAAATATTTACTGGTGGTTTAATAATATTTCAAAATTAACAAAAATTGTCAAAGCTATCCTTTACTAAATACATGTGTACTAATAATGTGCGAAAGCAGCCTCCACCTTGTTCCGGTCGGGTCGGGGCTATTTGCACTTAAACCAAGGTCTTTTTGTTACCATTTTGTAAACAACTTGTTTTTAAGTATACAGTGACAGTTTGAAAAATTAGACTACAGAAATACATTCATACCCCTACAAATCGAATAACAATAATTCAAATTATGACCATTTTAATAAAAATGTGTTACCAACTTGTAACCTAACTTTTCAAACTGTCATCTCTAAAAAAAAATGAAATTTACAATTTTATTCGATTTGTTCTTCATCGACCGATATTTGTTTGTTCTCGCAAGAAATACCATTACAGTTACCACACAAGCATGAACATGGCATATTGGATTTTAAACATGTACCATTGCGATTAAAAAAAATAGTACAACAAAATATGATTTAATCTGCTGGTCTATATTCTTGTGTCAGTATCACGTAATTTTTAAAAAATGCCTTTAACTTCAGAGCAAAAATCGATTATATTTACGCGATTAAGGGATGGGGTTCCCATAAGGGACATTGCAGATGCATTAGGAATAAACAAAAAAACAGTGTTGTTGGCTAAATCCAAAAAAAAATCAATATAATTCA